GTCCCTCGGCAGGCCAGCAGCACATGCTGCGTCTCCAACAGCTTCCTGGGAGCTTCTCTCCAGACAAGCATCTCAAGGGAAGTGCCTCTACTGACCACTGTCCTGGCATGGGGGAGAGGCTCTGCAGCCAGCCTGTGGCCCCACTGTGCCCAACACAGATCTTCTGGCTTAGCCACAAGGCCAGGGTCTCAGCTCAGCGTTGCCTGGTGGACATCAGATTCCTTGACACACAACATGAGGGTGCCTGCACCTGAGCTAATGAGAGGCAGGCACACACATTGCCCCTTGGTGGCTGAGCTACCCCCCACAGCAGCTCCTCCATGGGCACCTGGTTGGGGCAGGTGCAGGTGCACAGCATCCAGCCGGTCCATACAGCCCTCAGCCCCTCCTGAATGTCTGATACTGTTGGCTGCATGCCCACAGATGATCCCAGCAACTCCTGCAATCCCCACTGACACGGGGGACAGACAGGTGAGTATGCGGATCCCCTTCCCTTCCAAGAGTCCTGTCTGCAGGTGAGGAGAGGAGGCGAACTTCAGCTACTCACTCCAGAAACACACTCAGAGCAGCAAGCTCCCTCACAGGGTCCTTAGGTTGGTCCTATCACCCCTTTCCAGGAGGCGTTTCCCACAAAGTGGCCAGGTGGCTCCTCAGATGTGAATTAGTTGGGATCACTTGGCTCACCCTTAGGTAGAGAGGTGTCCAGGAGGGCCATTTGCAATTTCAGGAACAGGGGTGGGGGTAAGGGGCTGATACAGCTGACTTTAGGGAGAGGCCCCTGGTGCTCCACAAGGCCTAGACCCCCAGGACTGTTGTCAGTGCCCCCACATCCATGTAAGCCTTCAGGCCTCTGTGCCCATTTGTGCCAGCCTCACACGGCAGGGCCATGTCTGAGGGCAGAGACACAGCTGCCTGTGTCCAAGGTTCCCACAGTGGGTGTTGAAAGAAAGAGCTCCCAGCCCTGATGTCCAGACACCCCACAAAGGCTGGGACTCCATGAGGTTAGTATCCCAAAGCACAGGTCACAGAGGAATGAAGGTCATCCCAAGGAGTTGCACTGTGGCCAGAGGACCTGCCACCTGTCTCACTGAAAGTCACAAGGGGGATGCCTCTCCTTTTACGAGGCCTGTGGCCAGATAGCCGAGGAGGAGCTGTGGCATCCACACCTTGTCTTAGAACACACTTTGATCGCTCTCTGTTGACTGCAGATGGGGTGGTGTCCAGGCTTCATGCAAAGCCAAGGGAATTTCCCAGACAAGAAGCCACAGAGTTAATGTCTCAACAACTCTTAACTGAAATATGTAAATCCTGCTGCTGCCATGTACTCTGGTGGTATAGTGAGTAGGTAGGCAGGTGAGAGCTGGCTCCTGGGCTGCCAGGTGAGTGGAAGGAGCAGCCCTGCCCCACCACAGTGGGACAAAAGCCTGCTGCAGAGACAAGAGGGGTCCAAGGTCCTGGTGACTGGCTCCAGGGAACTCTAACCAGGTGGAAGGCATCAAACCATGCCATGGGGCTGAGCCCCCAGATTCCAAAAGTAGTGCAAGGTCACCTGTGGACAAGACCACATGGAGGGCAGATGGAGTTTGCTGGAAGCCAGAGGCCTATCCAGGGGTGAGTCTCTTGGTGGGGTTTCAGGGCTCACCACCTAGACTCCCTGCAAGGCAGCCTCCATCAGGAGAACATGGAAAATGTCAGCGCACACAAAACTGTCGTGTGCATATGTGTGGAACTGGTGTATAGATCCTTGTAGCTAAGAGCTGCCCAAGGCAGTATGGGCAGAGTCCTGCCCAGCTGTCTGTCACAAAGCCTTAGAGGCTGAGAAGCTACATCCTTCAAGGACAGCTGAGAGTTCTACCAGGCAGAAGGCCTCAGCCAGGCCCCAGTGGCCTCCTCGACTCATGCACTTCTGTCTCAAGTCTCAGTTAAAATGTCACCTCCGAAGTTGCCAAAACATCCCTTTCTCAGGCTTACAAATGGAAATCTGTGTTTTATCCACAACAAAATTTCAATTGTTGGCAGTGATTCTTATCTTCTGAGCTTTCGCCTGCCAGCCTCAGGGAGTATTGGAGAAATTACAGAAAGGCGGACAGATTGTGAGTGACTGTGTGCAGGGAAGGCTGTGTTTCCAGGATAGGGAAAACTGTGTCTCTACAGAGCCTCACCGTGACCCCTGCTGCTCCATGGCTGGCCCCACCTGTAACCATGACCCCTGCTGCTCCATGGCTGAATCCACCTTTAGAAATAGCACTGCCAAGTGCTGCTGGTGCTACCACTTGTCACTTCTCATAATTTTAACACATGTATGACCTCAGTTACTCCACTTCTTAGATCCTCTACGCTGTATTTGCCAACATCCCACATTGCCTTGGCACAGCCCTGGCCCTTCAGGGGGTACTCAGCAATGAATCCATGAAGGTCCTGCCACAACCAGACTGCAGCATTTCTCAGAATCAACAAGGAACACCATTCTAGACTGTGAAGCAGGGAGTGCACTTGCCTGGAAAATGCTACTATTTATAAGAAATTTTTTAGATGTGCACAACATAACTCATTGACAATTAACGGGCAAAACCAACTTCATTTCCTTTATTTTGGGGGTGGGGGAGGGCAGGTGACAGTTAGATGCACTTTATTTCCACATGGTCATTTGCCACAGTTCTTGGGCAACACGCAGGGTGAATGAGCTTCAGGGAAAGGAGGAGCATGTCCCCTTGCTGACCCCAGTCAGACTCAGCGGGTGCATTGCCTGATCCAGGCTGGCCTTCCTCAGGGCCATCGACCTGGGAAGGCACAGATGACGGATGGAGCTCTGGGCACCACACAAAGAGAAGGGCACAGGACCCTGGGTGGAAACAGGAGATTTGTAGGACTTGACACCCAAACATCCCCCGATTGAGCAACTTCCAGGGGAAGAACCAGGTGGTGAGGCATGGTTCACACTGAGCCTGGGCCAGAGCCATCCCAGTGTATGCCCAGTGGTGCCTGGCAAGCAAGGGAGCAGTGACGTAGTGGTGGTGAGGATACCTGTGCATCTGTGGCAGGGTGAAGTATGCCTGGTCCAGGAGGTCTAAACTCCAGGCCAGTGCTTGGCCAGGGGCTCACAGCCCCCATGGCCAAATGAGGAAAACACAAAAAAAAGCAGTGCTATTGTCTTAAAGCTAAAAACTATTTAACCTAAAGGACCAACCTTTATTCTGAGATTTTGCTCTTTCTACATCTTTGTGTTAAAAAGACCTTTCTTTCACGAAATGAGGGTGCCTTAGTCCATTCTGGCTTCTACAACAAAGACCACAGACTGAGTGGCTTATAAACAGCAGAAATTTATTTCTCACAGTCCTGGAGGCTGGGTGTCCAAGATCAAGGAGCCGACAGATTCAGTGTCTGCTGAGAGCCCTATTCTGATTCATAGGCAGCACCTTCCTGCTGTGTCCTCACATGGCAGACGGATAGGGAGCTCTCTGGAGTCTCTCATAAGGGCAGTAATCCCACCATCAGGGCTCCACCCTCAGGACCTATTCACCTCCTTATTGCTTCACCTTCTAACACCATCACCTTGGTGGTTAGATTTCAACATATGAATTTTGGGGACACACAAATATTCAGACCATAACAGAGGGCAAAATGAAAAGAGAACAACTTAAGCCAACTCCCACACCATTCTCTCAAAAAATGTCCCAGGAGTGTGGAGTCCATCAGCCTAAAAGACTGCTCCAGCCCTAGCTCTGTCAACCTCATAGTGACACCAGAGCATGCCTCTCAGCCCAGGAGAAGCACTGCCTGGTGCTGCTGGAGCCACCCTCTTTAGTGCCACCACATTCTGAACAAATGAGAGCAAGTGCCCGGAGAGTCCTAAGGACTGAGTGAACACTTCGAGGTCCAGCCTGCCCATGTCCCCAGGGAGAAAGCCCCCAGGCAGTACAGCCGGTGGAAGCAGGCCCAACCTAAACCCTTGACCATGAAGCTAATGACCACGCATCTTCCTGCCTGCCCCATTTACATGCCACACACAGGAGAACCAAGCTAAGAGGTACCATCCCTTTAATAACACCCCCACCTCTCTCGGAGGGAGAAAGACAGACCTGGGCTGCTCCCTGTGTACCCGTCCTCAGCCCTCAGCCCTCGGTACCAAGAAGCATAAGTCCACCTAATGTTACCATCCAACGTTACTATAACATACCCAGAAATTACCTTAAAATGTATTTCCTACCTTCACAGGCATGGCATTAAACCTTCATTCCCAGAAAGCAGGAACTCTAACTCCAGTATGGGTTTGATTTCAGGGCAAATCTGGGCCCTTCCCAGGGTGAGGTGCAGTGTTTACAAATACACTCAGAACTTTTCATTTATCAAATGGCCAGAAGAATGTAATTCCAAAAACAGAGATGGCTTTCCATGAACAGTGAAAAGGGGGGTTGGGGGGCACGCAGTGGGCAAGTAGGGGTCTCAGCCATCTGGAGTGGCCATCCACACAGATCCAGTTCACACTAATGCCCATCCAACGTCCACTTTTTCCTGCCTGGCAAACATTTGCAGGTCTAGTTTACCCAAGGCTCCTCTGGTGCGCCCCCGCCCCCCCCCAATCTAGCAGGTCTCTGCTCTGGATGGCCCTGGCAGCACCTGCAGTCTAGGTACACCCCCCCTTCCCAAGTCCATCTGGAGCCTGGCTTTCCCATGAACCTCTCTGTAAGCCAGTGGTCCCTCACCCTGCAGATGGGAGGCCTCTAATTCTGGCCATCTTTGCTGTGCAAACAATTGATCCTAAAGCAAATCATGCTCTCTCCCTCACCAAGCCTCCAGCTTGGGAAATTCAGGGCTCACCCTCAGGAGCCCCACCCGGCCTGGCCTGTGGAGGCTGAGAGGCACAGGTTCTCTCATCCCAGTTGGCATCACTCTCCGCCCCGCCATCTCAGCCTGCGCCTTCTACGTCTGGGTCCGGGCGAGGGGGCACAACTCTGGCACTGGCGTCCCCGGGCTCCCAGGGGCGACCCCGCCACGCCTACCTGCTTGTCCCGCGCGCGGTGCTCCACGCCGCCGCGCCGCTCTGCCTCCACCGTGCCTTTGCGGCCACTCGCGTACGCAGACACCACGAAGCTGTCCCCTGCGGCCCGGCGAGAGGAAGCGCGGGAAGCGGGCACCAAGGAGGGAAGGAGATGCGCGGTGAGCCGCGCGGGCGCTGTGCCTTAAAGATGCCCCGCCGCCCGGCGCGCCCACCCCATTTCCGTGCGGCCTGGGGCGCAGGGCTCCAGCTGGGGAGCCGGGGC